TTGCTTGGCATGACAACCTCCAGGATAACAAATAAACGACGGCGAATGCAGACATATCGCGAGAATCGTTTAGGATATACAGTGATAGACCCAGTCCTCCTTTGACTTCCGTGGGGTCCCCCATCTTATTCACATAGCAGTGCAACTTCAGAGTATACTGCGTTCTGCAACTATGTCCTTGCCTGACCTCCGATCCCGTCTCAATGGGATACACGTTGCAGCTAGCACTGAAAACGCGATTCCTATATGTTAAATCAGAAGAAGGGCGCTCACCGTTTATTGGAGATCTGATGTTTCGAATGATTTTGTCGTCCACCCATCTTCAGAGACTGAACATTCGAGCTCACGGCTCTCGTTATATGCTGCTATTTTCCGTGTGCAGTGCCTGCCAATACCCATTGATGCCTAATAGACTACTCCCGGTGAACGGACGTTTAAGAGTTAGGTTTTTGCAGGAACGCCTCCTAGGGCAGGCAAAAAATGACGCAGTCACAATAAGATAAATTGTACAGATATTATTCGGTCGATCTCATACGTTGACGCTAATAATGTAAACATTTGGATGTGTTCCGCATGAAATTAGCTGATAGGCACGGCAAAACAGACAAATTTCAAGTGACAGGCCGAGAAAAAAAGGAATAAAAAGCGTAACGGACCATGCTAGCAGAAAACAAAAGCTGAAACTTACTTTGGCCTTCTTTATCATTATTTCGATGATATTTTTGCCACCCGATGATAAGAGAGTGACAGTAAGGTCGTCTAGAGGTTTCTTCATCCACAGGCCAACTGGGCGAAAGGACTCAACGCGAACTCGTTTCCCCAATTCAACGTCAGTCTGCACTTTGATACGGACCAATGGAACACCGACGAATCCCCATCCTTCCAAATCAGCTTTATACAGCAGATATGCATACAGCGCAGTAATGCGAAAGTTGGATGGCAGGGTGCATCGAATTCCCCAGGATGATCCCTGTTCAACCACTCCAGAGGACGGAATGAGCGTCGTGCCGGAGGGGAGTCGTGACATTTTTGAGCTACGGGGGTAAGTAATATGAATACGTCTGGAAGCAGTTCGAGAATTTTCCCCGTCCTTTTGCGTCACGGAACACTCCACAGTTGCCAGCCCACCTTCAGTCGTACGTTCAGGGTTAGGCGGAGGTCGATAGAGACTTACGATGGAGAGCATGCTGCTGTTTGCGTCATTTACTGATTTTAAATAGTCAGTGGGAAAGAAGTTAGCCGCCTCTTTGGACATTTGCCACATTAAGGACTTGTTATTGTAAGAAGTCCTTAAGTGCGGCTCCGCAAGTGCCCTTCGCAGGCTCTGTGGATATGCTTCAATGGTCTCTAAACTGGTCTCAGATGCTGGTGGATTGGCAATAACCAAGCAATTCCAATCCAACAGGGAGACTTCCATACTCAATATTTGGGGCTCTACTTCAAAGTAGTTCTCCAGGTACTTACTCAATAATCTCTTTGCTGGAATCTTTTTCCCGACAAACCTCCGAGGCACAGTTTCACAGAAGACAAATCCGCCAAAGTGCTCTATCCTGAGTAGAGGAATTTCCAATTCTATGGTTCGTATGGAACTGTAATATTTGGGCTGCCTTTTTATTTTACAGGCTGTGAAGTTGACAAGTTCAGGCTTGGAATACATTGCATTTGGCTGCTGAAAACAGCCTCCTTTGTTCCAGTCAGCAAACCAGCAGTCTAAATTGATTTCAAGCTGGTCTTTAACCACGCCTGTTAGGTCGCGCTGGGTGGGGTGATTACAGATGACAAAGCGTGTCTCTTTGTCAGCATAAGCCATCTGTATGGGAGCATTTTCCACTCCTGTGTCGGCCTCGCAGCTGAGATACATTTGGTTGCCAAGTTTAGGTGAGGCGGCCTCGTTGGAGTGAGGTTGGCTGAATAGTGTCTTAATCACTGGTTCTCGTGGACAACCGCCAAGAAAGCGCCGTCGTTCGCTTTTACTGACCTTTATGGTGGCTGTGATATTTGGCAGAGCTGTGAAATTTGTTGCATTAATCCCAGGTCGACTGATGAGGCAATAAATGTCCGCTTCATCCGCGTTAGGGGGAATCTCTCGCCAAATCAAACGGACGCTGCCTTTTTGATTGATCTGACCCAACGTGAAGGCAGTCAGTTGACGTTCGACTACGATAAAG